AGTATACTAAACTTTACACATTATATAGGCTACACTAACGGGACGTTTAGGTGGTTTGTTTAACTATTGTACGTGATGTACGTTTTTTTGGAGGTGGTTAATGAAATTGTTCCAAAACGCGACATTAATTTCTTGACGACCTAATACCATGTTTGAAATATGGTAGTGCGATACTCAATCACACGTGTTTCTTTCATTTGTGACGGTACGTCTTCCAGATACCACTTCTACAGACAACTTTCGACAGCTGGTCTTGCAGTCGGTATAACTTACCCTTTTTGTAATTACAAGAGTTTACTTTAGCTGTAATGGACCACATATTTCCAGTTACAAGCTGTTAAAAATATTTAACTTATTTCTGTGTACGATAAGTAATGGAGTAATATATTTTTGACCTGTTGGAAGAAAACTCTTATTTTACCCATACGGTTAAGAACTAAAGATAATCTTCACACTATCCGTTACATAACCCATACGGTTTGTTACTAAAGATAACCTTCACACTATCCGTTACTTAACCCATACGGTTCGGTACTAAAGATAACCTTCGTATTACCCGTTACTTAACCCATACGGTTCGGTACTAAAGATAGTCTTCACACTATCCGTTACATAACCTATATGGTTCAGTACTAAGGATAACCTTCATATTACCCGTTATTTAACCCATACGGTTCGGTACTAAAGATAACCTTCACATTATTCGTTACTTAACCTATATGGTTCAGTACTAAGGATAACCTTCACATTATCCGTTACTTAACCCATACGGTTCGGTACTAAGGATAGTCTTCACACTACCCGTTACTTAATCCATACGGTTCGGTACTAAAGATAACCTTCGTATTACCCGTTACTTAATCCATACGGTTCGATACTAAAGATAACCTTCGTATTACCCGTTACTTAACCCATACGGTTCGGTACTAAAGATAGTCTTCACACTACCCGTTACTTAACCTATACGGTTCGATACTAAAGATAACCTTCGTATTACCCGTTATTTAACCCATACGGTTCGGTACTAAAGATAACCTTCACATTATTCGTTACTTAACCTATATGGTTCGGTACTAAGGATAACCTTCACATTATCCGTTACTTAACCCATACGGTTCGATACTAAAGATAACCTTCGTATTACCCGTTATTTAACCCATACGGTTCGGTACTAAAGATAACCATTTTTGTGAAGCGCCAAAATGTCTTGAATACTTTTGTAATCGTGAATTATGAAAATTTTGCTTGAGAAAGTCCAGAAGGGATCGACACCAGAATAACCACAATTCAACTGAATTGCAACAAGGGGGGAGGGAGTTAAACTGTACAATCATAATCCCAGAGGTAAGGTGAGTGGATATGTAAATACCTAACGTAGGTTGTGAATAACAGTTTCAATAATGTGTAAGGAAACGTACGAAATTTATTTAATTAAGTGCGTTTATTAAATGACACTTCCACATTTTAATAACTATATATATATATATATTTAATAATATTTTCGTGTCTTTTGACATCTTTTAAAAACACTTATTATAAGTTCATTACTTTATCAAAGTTTTTATGATGGTTTGTTTAACGCCATGAATTTTCTTCTGCTTTAGGCACATGTGGATAACCATCGTATCTCTGATTGGTTGCGCTGTAGGGTCTGCAGCTAAACAAATCGCATCCTTCTCTTCAGCTTTAAATAAGAGCTTGTAAGTGTTCATTATTTGTAGCGTTATATAGTTTAAACTGGAGTACTTTAGTCTTGTTGTGTAATTACTAATAATATACAGTGTCGTAAATAGGTCTTGAAGGACCAATTTTTAAGGAGCACCTGGGCTGGCTTCACTCACCATTAAATTTTTTACCGTGTTTCAGAATATCCCCCCTAGTTTCAGCACTCAAAGTTACAACTACCAGTTTTGAAGGGGCTCCTAGCCTGACTTCACTCACCATTAAAACTTTTACCGTGTTTCAGAATATTTTTCGACATATTCCAAAACTCCAAATAGTAATATTTGGGGTTCCTGGTCCCCTCGTGCCTTGAGTCAGTTGCCCCCCTCCTTTTGTTGATATCCATTTTCGATATCTGTAATATATGTATATACATATATACAATACAATTTAATATGCAAACAATAACGTATGGTTAGAAAACAGGCCCATTAAAAAGAAACAAAGTCTAAAAAAATAGTTTGTATGCAACGCCATCTCCCGGCATTACATATGAAGTTGGTTTCTTGGAAAATTAAATGCCACGTATAATTTAGCCGCTTAGGGGGATAAGAAACAGTTCCATTTTATGTTTTAATTTGTAAAAAATATTCGAGCCCCCCCCCGAACTATCGATGATTTTTTTGTTTTAAAAAATATTCCGTGCACATTAAAAGTTTTGTTACAAAATTAAGTGCTTTAATTCATGTAAATTTAATTTTAGAAAAAAAAATACTTTTATTTTATAAATCATATCTTTTTAAATATTTTCATGAAATTTCGGACATGATTCATG